TACCTGTTTATTTCAAGAAAATTATTAACAGAAATGGATACAATAATTGGATGTGTAAACAGCCAACCAGGCAGAGCCCAACTTAGGGGGGGGGGGCTAAGGGGCTGCAGCCCCGGGCCTCTGTTGATATTTAATTATTAAAGTGGCATTTTGAAATAATTGGTTACGTAGTTTCGTTAGTCACGTAGGTATCGTAATGGAATTTATGATTATTCTCAAATCGATAAAATAAGCTATTAAGTTTTAAGATGAAGTTGGTCAAAAGCACTTTATATCGTTATGATTACAATTTATGTACCGATACTTCTTTATTTATATTCATATTTTTAATTTCATCGTTTATTTTTTATTAATTGTCATTAAATAATTAAGGTACGTTTTCCTTGCAGCGTCCGGACCTTGCGGCTATAGTCGACGCTATTAGACGTGGCGTTTGAATGCCGCGTCAAAACGGTTTTACAAACAGCGTCTAAACGTCGCGACCGTTCCAAATTTTTTACAAACATTCAATCGAAAATAACCAAAACCAAATTTTTTGTCCGTTTTTTTCTAAATTGTTATAAAACTTTTACAAATCGAAATCAAGAATTAAGAAAGCGTCACTAATCATTCGATCTTTATAGGACTATAGGTCGATCGCAATAAAAATGTAGTATACACGATACAATATATTGTATAAACTTCATGTTCTAGTATAAAAAAATGCAAATTAAAAAATACGAGTATATGCCGATCATCAGTTTTAAAATTAAGAATATAGCTCACTTATTTGAAAAGGTTGACAACCCTTAATCTAAAGCAACATATTACTTATAGCCTTATTATGGTATATAATAATTGATTTATAACCTTAAATTAATTGAATATAACAAATCTATATAGCATAAAGACTACATTTATCATTTAAGTTGATTATTTAAAATGTAGATAATAATTAATTTTGGGGCCCCATTAAAAAATTTGACCCGGGCCCCAAAATTCCTAAGTTGGGCTCTGCAACCAGGGTCTGATTTACCAATTTGTGGTCCTAGTACAATTTACATTTTTGGGCCATACATTTTCATCCCTATTTTCTTCAATCCTAAAATAAAAATGTACGCATAACATATTTTTAAAAATCAAATTATTCATAAAATCATAACCAAGTAAATCATAAGATAGAACTCTTGAAAATAGCTATGCCATACGATAAAAAGTATACCTATATATATATTAAAATATAATTTGATTATTATAAATTTATGACACCTATTATATTATAAGAAAAATAAATTACCAAAATCGAAAGAAAAAGTTTTGTCTGTTGGTTCCAAATTAATTAACTGACTGTACAATAATTATAATTAACGATAATAAGTTAATAAGTTAAAAACAATAATAACTTACTAGTTTCGAAAAATTAGCCAAGTCCTCGGCATCTCTCAGATATCCCACAAGCGCACAAATTCCATCGTCAGATTTTACCCCCATACTTAGGTAGGCTCTTTCACTTTTATAATTGGGTAATTAAAACTGGTATTGACTATTGTAATATCAAATTGGTACAGTTATTAGTAATTACAGTTATTTTTAAGTTGGAAAATGTTGTTTCGACGTCATCGCCTTATTATTAATTAATTATTATTTAATTAGGTATTTTTTCTTCAATTTTTAATGTCACCCAGTGTCCCAGTAACTGCCAGTTAATATAAATAGCATTATGGGAAATAAACTGTCGTTAAGTATTCTGCTTGAGATATAAGAACAACTCTGTGAACAAAAAAGAAAGGAGAGTAAAAACTGCAGAAGAGAAATATATTATTATGTGTTACTTACGAAAAAATATTGTAATCATTATC